AGTCGGCGGTGAGTAAAGAGCAAAGCGAAAATGTGTAATGTGGGATGAGGGTATAGTTTCCACACACCAGGCTAAAGCAAGGTTTACACTCTTAAGCAATAAAAACAAACCATTAAGCTAGGCCCAGCACTGTCAGGAAGTATAAAACAGTTCTTGAAACTTTGCAGTTACTATACAAAAGCTTTTCATAAACTCTGTTTCCTGATCTTCATTAAACGTCACCATCAAGTTGCCACGGGGCAATTAGCTTGCCTCCTGAAATCAATAAAAAATCAACAATTTGGAAATAGTTGTACAGTAAAATAGTTCAATAATTATTCTCTCGTAGAGTTATGGCCAAGTGATTCCAGTGTAAATGCAGTCCAGATGATATCCTGGTCCTCACCAGTAAAGCTTTAAGCAAACCAGTGGTTAGCTTAGAGATCTCCTCACCAGAATAGGCTACGGCAATAAGCACTTTGGGCAATGTCGTGGGGGCTTCCGGGGTGGAGCAAACACAGTTTAAGCAGGGTGTTAAGTTCAGTACCGAGCATACTGCTTAAGTACCTCAGAGGGACTCACTTCAGAATTCAGAATCTTAAATGATAAATCCAGTGAATAAAAAAATTAGTCGCCCTACACTCAGCATTTGGCCTCCAAACAGGAAGAAATCAAATTATTTTTTCCCTGGGAGTTAGCCTACATTAAAATGGAAAGACAAAGGGTGTGTTTGAGCTTAGGAATTCATTCATTTAAGCTTTCCTTCAACAAATATTCAAATCTGAGTTGCTTATAAGAAATCTTCGAAGTGCTCCTAAGAAGTGTGAAGAAACTGCTAAACAGCTGGCCCACATAGTACATTGTACTAAAAAAAGAGAGAGAGGTGCAACACAAAGACAGAAATTAATTTCTTAGCTGACCCCTGTCAGAGAAATCCATCCCTTTTTGCTCCTTCTAGCCTGAGCCCATTCACTTAAAGCACCTCATTCGAAGCCAAAGCAGCATCAAAAATCCCAGTATCAATTAAATCAAACCTCAAATACCTGCTTTGGAAACTGCTTCATACCACCCTCTAGGCTCAATGGTGTTGTACAGTGAACTGACTTAGAACTTAAAAAAAAAAAGAAAAAGAAAAGGAATCGAGCATCATTTTTAGTATAAACAAATGCTTCAAATGTATGACATCTATTTGCTGTCTTCAAAGGAAAAACTTTTAACTCAGACGCTTGGCACCAACATCACACAGGATCATCTCAGTGGACTGACTTAAGTGTTAAACTTCTTAAAGTACGTTTTTAAGGGTTTGCACCTGCTCCCCCATCCACATAGATGTACTGACATGTATTTGACTAAACTGACTACATACATGCCCCAGCAAGCAGGCACGGCAGATTTTACAAGATAAGCAACCAAGTGTTTTCATGTCTAAGGGTGGCTAGAACACAAAATTGCCAGTCATCTTGTGGGGGAAAAGAATGCCTTTGGAGAAAAAAAAAAAATGTAGGGCATCATTTTAGATATAGTGAAATGCATTCTGATGCCATCCAGTGTACTGTATACAGGTTTTTGTTTTGAAGTGGTGCTTCTTATTAAGAAACCCACACTCAGTCTAACTTGTGCATTGTGACTGAGAAGATTCTCACAGTGCAGTCCTTGGGGCCAGCAGAAATGCTGCAGCTGGGAGCTTATTAGAAATGTAGACTCTCAGGCACCTCCCCAGATTCAGAGAAATAGAAACTACATTATAGCACACTTCCAGGGGATCTGCTCGGAGTTTCATTTCCCTGAGGCATCATTGGTGATTCCTATGACATTAAAAACTAAAAAGCTTTATCAAGAGCATTGCTTCCCCAAGTTAGGTAGAAGTTTGCTTTGAAGTTTGTAGAGCAGAGAAATGGTCAGAAAACTCTGCCCTAGAGAAAAGCATAGGCTGTGATTTGTCTACAAAACGGAGGGAAGAGGAAAAGCAGTTTACCTGAACAAAGCTGACGTGTTTCACCCACCTTCTCACCCTGCCCTTCCTTTGCAAGAAATAAAACAGAAAGCAGTGGCCAGGCATTCTTCATTCTTTGAGAGTGCCAATCCATTTCACAATCATTCCATTTATTAATATAAGGCTCTATTCCTTTTGCTATATAATGGATTAAGAGGTTGTGGTTTATGTAACATTCAGCGAATGAATTTTTAACATGTCCATAGCATTCAAATATATGCTATCTTAAAAGTGAGTTGCACAGATTTTTCCGCCTGCAATCAAAAGTTGAGGGTAAAATATGGAAGGCTTACGTTATCTATTCACTATGTAGCTTGATACACAGATTTACATATTATCTTGAGGTACAAGTTAAAGTAGCAACTGAAGTAGAGATCATGAAAAAATAGAAATGCAGGCAGTCCCCTGGTTACACACGAGATCCGTTCATAAGTGAGTCTTCAAGTCAATTTGTAGATGAGTCAGAATAAGTACATACAGTTCTTCCTTAGCCTTACTTTACTGCAAGAGGTGCCCTGGTGGCACGGTGGTTAAAGCACTAGGCTGCTAACCAAGATGTCATAGGTTCGAAACCACCAGCCTCTCTGCAGGAGACATATGTGGCAGTCTCCTGTAAATATCACAGCCTTGGGTACCCTATGGGGCTGTTCTACTCCGTCTTACAGGGTCACCATGAGTTGAAATCGATTCAAAGGCAACTGGTGTTTTGGGTTTCAGTGTAAAAGGCCAGCTTGAAGTCTTTTCAATGATTTAAAAGCTGCATGTGCAGCTAGTGAAGGTGATTGTGATCAAGTTGTTCCAAGTAGGCACTGGTCAATCATTTCAAAGTGAGGACAAATTTTCATAACATTAAAGGGCAAGTAAGAGCATAATTGGAAGTTGTAACCCAGAGACTGCCAGTACAGATAAATCTGTAAACAACTTCCCTTCCTGTCCCAAGTTTTGTAGGCAAAAAGGGGACAGAGCAACTTGAACATGCCATGCAGACTGCCACAGCCAGAGACATGCACAAAAATGATGACACAATTTAATCAGTTTTGTAAAATAATCTCCCCCAAAATTCAGACACTACTGTTTGAGATCCACAATTGGGGGTGGAGGAAGCAAACTCTAAAAAATCCAAAAGATCCTACTGAACAGTGACGGGGATTCCAGACCCAGTGTCATGGAGTAGGCCCTTTCTCAGAATGAACAATGCCAGAACGCATGCACCATGTCAGAAAATCGTTTCTCAATGAGGTGCCAAGAGGGTCAAAAAGCCCCAACTATTACCAAAACTCTGAAACCAAAGTGAAAATGCCTACCTATGCATACATAACTCCAAAAACCCAACTCATTGCCATCAAGTTGATTCCGACTCATAGCAACCCCCACTGGGTTTCCAAGGCTGTAAATCTTTACAGAAGCAGCCTTGCCCCATCTTTCTTCCATGGAGTGGCTGGTGGGTTTGAACCACCAACCTTTTGGTTAGCAGCCAAATGCCTTAACCACTATACCACCAGAGCATGCATGTATATATAAAGATATGGAACTACCAAAGCATAAAATTCTCTCACTTTTATCTGACAGGCTTTGGAGATGGAGAGACATAGCTTATTTAAGATGTTAATACAGGTGTCACTTAACATTCTGGCAAATGTCCACCCACAGCTCTCTTTTGCTTTAGTATTTCCCTCTAATGGTTTTAAAAAACCCCACACCCATAATTTTGCAGCACTGGACCATGGGTGGGATACAGGCAGAGGACATGGCTCTGGGTGTGGGCTCTAGGCTTTGCTGGCTGAGCAGGCGGGCAGAACAGCAAATGGGACTCAGCTGCCTCTCCAATTGTTTCTACTACACTCATTCCTCTAGTTGTCCTCTGATGTTGTTGCTGCTACTACCAGTTCCATTCCTCCAGCCTCCCCCAGCAGATCTAGTAGCAGTAGCAGCAGTAGCAGCAGTAGCAGCAGAGGCAAGGACGACCAAGAGTAGGCTCCTATAAGGTTTTATTACGGTGTTTCCTGTGTCCAAGTAAGAATTTATCACGGACTTTAGGTGATGCATACCTGTATTGTGAAGTTTGTCCCTCACTTTACGACGGGAGAGTGAGGAATGGCTGGAAGACAGAGGACCCAGACCTCCAAAGTTGGGTCCAATCCTAATTATTAAGTTACAGACACCTATGCCACAGTAATAAGTATGTTGTTGTTATGTGCCGTCAAGTCGGACCTGACTCATAGCGACCGCTCCTTTGGTTTCTGAGGCAGTATCACACTTCCGAGAAGTGGCTGGTGGGTTTGAACTGCCAGCCTCCTTGTTAGCAGTCAAGAGTCTTAGGCACAATGCTACCAGAGCTCACAGTAATAAGTATAGGGATAAAATTAAGTTGAATGGGTGAAAGATAGCTAGTCTTCATTTTCAAATATGATCTACATTATTTCCATGCTACAGCTAAGCCAACTGCCCCTAACTAGGCCTTAGTTATCAATGGCAGGGTCAACAGTAACACAAAATCTAGGGCATGGCCTAAAATACTATAAAAGACGGTGAGTTCTGGGTTCCCTGGCCTTACAAGCACACCCACTGAACCCTTCCTTAGGTCAGATTTCAACCTGGGGCAGAGCCCTGCCACAGGTAAGTGTTCATTCTGAGCAGCCTAATTTGACTTCATTCTATTTGGGCTTCAGTCCAATTGGCAGATGTTCTTGTAGAAGCTGATCTGACACTTTCCCTTTCTAATTTTTTGGCACTGTTGCTTCTGTTGCATGGGATATATCATCTCTGAAACTTTATCTCGCATTCCCCAGGTTTTGCTTGTTTTGTAGCTTTGATTTTCCCTCAAATCTTTTCACCTCAAAGAGATTCATAGAATGAAGACTACTAAATCATTGGTAACTCCTTTCGTGCAAAAATGACTTGCTTGCAAATTTCCAACCATTCCTCTGCTTTTCCCCCCACTCCCTTCTGAAATGAATAACTTCAGTAGCAGAAATGCAAACTGCTAGGTGAATGCTGTACACACACACTATTTTCTCTTCCTGGTTGCACTCTGTAGAATGACATGCTACAGCTATTATATTTATTATCTGAAATAGGTTTAACATTTGAAGAAATGTGTTCAAACTCATAACCCTGTGTGGGAAAGCAAGCTGATGAGACAGAGAACGGTGGGTGGAAAGAGAACATGATGGACGCAGTTTTGCCGTAGGTTGGGCAATGTTAGAAAATTGGGTTACTTCTGAGCATAAAGAGCTCCTAGCCGAGGTAAAAATAAAATACAAATTGATTTCCAACTCATGTTGAGGGCCACTGGAAATCAACCTTAAATATACATGACCACAATATCAATAATGAAGAAATCTTATGTTTTATTTAATAGTTTGGCCAGACCGGCCCCTTTGAAGGGATCGCTAGTTCAGGAAAGAGGAACAACAAACCATCATTCACTTTCCTGCAGATTCATCATTTTCCTAATTATTTCTATTGGCCCTGCTTTATTCTTTCTGCAAATTAAAAGAGAGGGGTTGCTATCTATATTAGATCAGCCATGTCTGGTTCTTACCCAAATATTCCATCTAATGAGGATGTGAGTTCTCGTGGATTGGACAACCACTCTGCAACATTCCTGAGAAATGAATAATAAAATAATCTTGAAAGTCAGCAGAGTGGATTATCCACTTTTTTTTTCTCTGGACTTGAACTTGTGACCTTAACAGTAGCGTTGCAAAAAAGCAAATGTGCTACGCACTTTGCCCGAGTAACCTTCCATGTAGACTTTTCATCTTAAATACACACAACTGAAAACAACTACAATCTTTGGAAAATTATGTACAAACCCGGTATTTCTTTTGATTACATATAAATACAAATTAGCTATTTTTGCCTAAAAAGTGGTTATAATAGTAAATAAATACAAAATAAATCTGACCATTATACTTCATGTGCTGGGGTTGAACCCATATAAAATGTACAACTAAATACATTTTAAAATCTTTAAGGAATAACTCTCTGATTAAAATATTTATTTTCCCAACTTCTTTTTGTAGATATAAATATATTTTCAAAATATTTTGTGTTTTTACCATTCCATTCCATAAATAAAGTCTTCATTGGGAAATATTAAAGTGTCAACTTGTTTTTTTTTTTTTTGCTTTTTTTCTAAAATATATCTATATATACACACACACACATACCAACGTGTATATATGTGTGT